AAAAAAAAAAAAAAATAGATTATCTCTTGTTTAAGTCTTAGGCGGAGATCTTACAAAATGCGAATTCATAAAATATCTATCCAAGACATACACAACAAGCACATTTTCTTATAATGTATATGGATCTCTTTTTCAATAGTGTTCATCAATATTCCCGAAAACATCTTAATATATAGACAATTTTTAGCTGATCTCTTGGTCAACACTTTGATTTGTCGACCTCACATGTCGTCTCAACCAAGCTCACAACAGAGCTGATTAGCTGAATATATCGAAATATGAAGTTTGATAACTCAGGTATTAAAGTCTAAAGAAGAACGATATCATTTGAGTTAGGAAAAATTGCACTATTCGTCCACTAGCTATACCCTCGTTGCACTTTCCTCCTTTAATTGTTACCGGTTTACAATTGGTACACTAACATTTTTTTTCTTAAATTAATCCAAAATGACATTTCGATGCTCATTTTTGCCGGAATAGCTGATGTGGCGCCCAATCGGATCGAAATTTCCTTTCTCGGCGTGATGTGGCACGAGGTGGCGCCTAGTCAGATCGGAAAAATTGCAGTATTCTCCCACTAACTTTATATTCGTTGCACTTTCGTCCTTTAATTGTTTCTGGTTTACAAAATAAAATAAAAAATAAAAAATCAAAAGAAAAAGCTTAAAAAAGAAAAAGAAAAAATCAAAAGAAAAAGACAAAAAATCTAATTTTTTATTTATAATTTAATTTAATAAAAAATGAAATATTTAATGATTAAATAAAAACAAAATAAATTTATAATGAGTGATAAATATTTTTAATTTAATGATTATGTATTTAATAAAAAAACAAAATATTTAATAAAAACCAAAAAATATTTTTTTATTAAATATTTCATTTTTCATCAAATATTTAACCATTAAATAGAAAATATTTATTACTCATGAAATATTTATTTCATTTTATATTTCTTTTTTATTTAATCATTAAATATTTTGTTTTTTATTTAAATAAAAAATATTTTTTCATTAAACAACAAAATGATAAATATTTTTTTTAATTAAATATTTAACCATTAAATAAAAATATCTATTTCTCATTAAATATTTATTTTGTTTTTTATTTCGTTTTTTATTAATTATTTCATTTTTAATTAAATCAAAAAATGTATTTTTATTAAATAAAAAAATATATATTTTTTTTTTATTTTTTTTAAAGTCATTAAACAAAATGATTTTTTTTATTAATTAATATTCTTTTTTTTATTTTTTTATCCACATGTCTTTACATATGAAATTTAAATCTTTTTCTTTTTCTATTGATTTTCTTAATAACTTTTTTGTGCTGATTTTGTAAATCGGAAACAATTAAAGGACGAAAGTGAAACAAATGTAAAGTTAGTGGACGAATAGCGCAATTTTTCTTATTTTGTGCCATGTGTAAAAACAGTTGGGCCTACTCGTGCCACATCACGCCGAGAATGGAAATTCCAATCTGACTGGGCGCCACATCAGCCGGTGAAAATGAGCACCGGAATGTCATTTTCGACTAAAATCACCAAAAAGAAAAAAAATAGTGTACCAATTATAAACTGGAAATAATTAAAGGACGAAAGTGCAACGGGAGTATAATTAGTGGAGTATAATTAGTGGAGGAATGTTGCAATTTTTCCTTTTGAGTTACAATAATTGAAAATTTCATTTATGTAATCATAACATAACCTAATATTATATTTGCCAGAATAACTTTTATCATTCTTTAAACTGTTGGAATACAGTAGACAGTCCCTCAAACCATCAACTTGCCATTCAATTGCTGACACAAAGAGAGAGAGAGAGAGATTAAATTTGTGGGCATCTTATGGCCTTTTTGTGTGATAATGACCTTAAGCAAAAAGCACACATAAAGCCATATATAACTTAACCCTTCTTGTGCCAAAAATGATGTTCACATGACTAGCCAAAGTTAAAGAATAATTCTCCACCCATCTAAGTAACACAACTGATTAATATTGGAAATATAACTTCAGAAGGGACTATAGACATGTAGAGATACCCATATGAAGATATCAATGTGCATAGATAGACATGGCCACGGTGTTGATATGGCTCATATATTGACAAAGGAAGGAGGCAGGTTGATGCCTGCTCGCTCCACTCCGCTCACTTTGCTCGGTCGCGATGGGCTGGTGACCGCGCGTCGCGACGCGGCAAATTTAAATTTATAATATTACCTTGACTAACCTCTACTAACTAGTAGTAGCGGCGAGTAAGGGTCGATCCCACGAGGAGCAGGAATTAAGTCGTGACAATTTTCGTATTAATCGAATTGAACTAAGAAAGCGAGTAAATGGGGGGGGATTGGATTGATAAAAATAAAATAGTAAAATAAAATAAAATTAAATAAAATAAGAGAAGTCCAGTTTTCGGTTCAGTTATCACCCAATCTAAATTTACTGTTAATCAATTTCGACGCTTTCTTTAAATTGCTAATGAATTACCGACCCTAGCTAACAACAAGCTCTGTTAACCGAATTTTTCCTTACCCATTATTAATCGAAATAAGCTCTTCGACTAAACCTAACTAGTGGACAACCTAGAATAAGCTCTCTAGATTTAATTCACTAGCAGCATTAATCACTAGGAAAATAGATCAGTCTAAGCAATGGACGCGTAAGCTCGGACCATTTAACTTATGTTCACGCTACCCTAAGGATGCACGACCCCTAGTTTACTACTAACGAAACAAGACAATAACAATTACGGATTAAAGTCTCGTATCTAGCAGTTAAACTATGAATATTTAACGTAGTTGGCCAAACTAAATCAAACACCACAATTCATAAGCACTATAAACAGATAACATGAATCAACTCATCCACAAAAATAAATACGACGTCTAGATTAATCAACGATAAATATAAATCCTTCAATCCATAGACAAATCGAAGTTAGGGTTCAAACATCCCCTCAAACTGGATAAAAATCTAGCCTAACATATCAATAAAAATAAATAAAAGATAAAAGAGAGAAGATAAAGATCTCCCTCGTGTGCGGGTGCGGCTTCCCTCCGCGTGTGTTCTTTTCTCTGTCCGTGCGTCTGTCCGCTATTTTGCTCTCAGCTTCTGTTATTTTTCTCCCCCTCCGTCCTTTATTTCCCGGCTCTTCTTTTATCCTCTCGCAAATAATTCCCGTCCCCCAAAGACTCCCCACAATGCGTGAGTCCTGTTGTCCTTTTTCTTCTCAAATTCTTGTTGGTTCTTTTCTAATTAATTCTTGCTGAATGTTAGTTGCATGTCACATGGCAGCCCAAATAATTCATTCCCTTCAATATGAGTTATTTTTCTCACGTCTATGACTCCCAGGTTTGATTTATTTTGGGCACAAATAATTGCACTTTATTTTGGGCCCAATTCTTCTGCGAATACTCGTTCAATGCTTCGAATCCATAAAATACTTCAATGAGCTGAAAATAAACATAAAAATATCAATGTGTATGAATCCATCCAAATAATGAATAAGTCGAAAAATACAAACATGCGACTAAATTAAGCGTATAAAAATACATTATTAAATATATAAAATGTGCACATTTTTCGACCTATCAGCTGGGCCAATTAGTTGGGCCGGGGGTGCGGGGGTGGAGCCCCCGCGGTATAGACGGGAGTGCGGGGGCAGAGCTCCCGTGGTACGGTACGGGATATTTAAGTAAATTAATGCCTTGTATGGTTATAGTATAAATACATGGTGTATTGATGTATTTGTGACTATTGAGAATAATAAAAATCCCTCAGCCGCCGTGGACGTAGGCACATTACCGAACCACATAAACCTTGTGTTATTTACTTTTTTTGTTTTTTAATTCGTATGCCATATTGTCATCTTCACTCAACACACGGGGTGGCCCAACCCGTGGATCGGCCCATAACCGGTCCGGAACTGGCCCGCCCTAGCCGGTTTTGAACTGGCCCATAACCCTTTAAGGGCCATGTTGTACCCATTTTTTACCCGCAGGGCCGGGCTGGGCTTGGCCGGTTCCAGGCCTAAGTTTTCCCACTGGTCACGGTTATAATTTTCTTTTTTTTTTCTCTAAGAGTTGAGTTTCTTTTTTTTTGTTAATGCATTTAAGCCGGTGCCAACTTATGCTTTCCTTAGAAAGTTTCCTATTGTGTCCATTTAAAAAGCTCCTTTTGCAGAAGGGGTAACAAATTCATTTAATTTACTGTAAATGGAAAGGGGTATCCAAGAATTAAACTATATGTTTT